TCTAGACTATAGAAGTCATTCCTACAGATAAACTGAAATTAGACAAACAATTCAAAAGAAAAATTGTCAAAAGACTTGAACAGGCATTTTACAGAGGAGAAAGCCCAAATGGCCAAAATACTTGCAAAGATGCTCAAAGTCTTAGTAAATGGAAAATGCAAATTAAAACCACAAATATTGTGTCATATATATTACACCAGCAAAAACTTCAAAATCTGACAATATCAAAGTGCTGACAAAGACATAGAATTATGACATTCTCACACACTACTGGAGGGAGTGAAAATTGGTACAACCACTTTAGAATACAATTTGGCATAATACAGCTATGCTGAAGGGATGTATGTCCTGCGACTCAACAATTCCACTCCCAGGTATGTGCCTGAGAAACTTTAGCAAAGATGCAGGGGGGACTGTGTGCAAAAATATTCATAATACTTTTATAATGGAAGCCACGCAAAGTCTGCCAACAGCGCTGCTTGTATAAACAACAGCTGTATGCGTCAACAAGGATGACGCTCAGGAACACAGCATTGGGTGAAAAAAAGAAAATTACGGGAGAATATATACATTATGAGTCCATTCATGGAAAGTTCGTTAGTGATTTGCTTTTAGGGATAGAAACGTGGTAAAACTGTAATGAACAAGAGAATGACAAACAAAAATTCATAGTAGTAGTTACCTCTGTTCAGGGCAGAAAGGAGATGTGATCAGAACAAGGTAAAGGGGCCTTTAAAGGAAAGGCTAATGGCCTACGTCTTAAAAAGGGCAGTGGGCACGCATTCATTGTAGTGTTATTCTTCACACTGTGCACACTTTACATATTCTTTTGCATGTAGCCAATATTTAATAAAAACCTTTAAGAATTGGTGAAGAAGGAAATGACTGAAATATTATTTTTAGAACTTGCTGGAAGAAGAAAAGAGAATCTAACAACCTACCAGTCATTAGGCTCTGACAGTTCTTCCCTCCAAACATGCCACACTTGTCTCCTTGTCTCTTGGTTTCTCTTTGTTCGCTCACTCCAAAACCAGCGATCATTCAGAACTACCAGTTGTCCAGGGTTGGAGGAAAGTTTCATGGTGTTCATCTGCAGCAGCAGCCAAGCTTTCCGCTCTATCTGTCATCCTATCCCTCATTAAAATTCAGGCCTACTCCAGGTGTGAATGACAAGCCATTACCCCGTTCATGCGCGTGCACACACATCCAATCTCTGCAGCTTGATTGAGTTATTATTATATCCAAATATTACTGAAATCCATTATTACCTGACTTTTGACTTTGACTTATTTTCTAATAGTTGTACACATGTCATAATGATAATAGAGCACTATATTTAAAACAAGTCATCTCCCTGTCCTCCTATCAGAACCTGAAATCTTCGAAAGCTCCTTGAAAAACAGACACCTGTCTCTTCCTCTGACTGCAACCATGTAGCAACGGTCCCGTAAACCAAAAGTAAAACTTAAAGTGAATGGGGCAGCTATTGTCAGCATAACACTTAAAAAGAAGAAAATAAATCTAGCTGCAGTGAAATCTCACTCCTCACCTGGATCATTACAGATAAGAAAACATTCATCTGTTTCCCAGCCCACCCCTCCACTGCCCCACCACTGCCCAGTGGATGGGAAGGGAGAAGGTATTGCTATATTTTCATTATCAGTGACATTAAAAAATAATTGTTTCATATCAGTGACTACAGGGAAGTCAGGCTTTATCAGCAATAACATTCCAATAGAAAAAAAAAAAAAGAGACTATTAAAAAAAATGATTCTAAATGACCTGCCTGGAAGAATCCATCACTCAGTACCCTGAAGTATACTGCCTTAAAAATACAACTACTTACCTCAGCATATTGTGCTACTGAACTGGCTTCAACTGCATAAACTCTGCTAGCTCCAGCCTGTACAGCAAAAAATGACAGTATTCCTGATCCACAACCAACATCTAGCACAACCTAGAAGGAAAGAAAAACAAAAAAGGGGTGAAAACACAAACAGGTGCTGGCACAAGGCCAGCTTTGGGCATTGAGGTGAGACTTAATTAAAGTCCTAGCTTTGATATTTATTAGTGGTCTTACCTGGGCAAAGTTATGAATCTCTGTGAGACTTGTTTTGCTCACACATTAAATGGGGTTAATAATAACCACTATTAAAGTTGGCTGTAGGGCTAAATAGTATGAAACGTATGCAAAGCACTTGGCACATAATTGGTATTCTTCAAATCATTGCTATTATTATTATAGTGTCTTTGTAACATGGATTGCTTTTAGGATGCTTAGGGCCAAGAAAAGCAGAGTGTCACAAATGAGCTTACCTCACCAAATCTATTAGCATGAACAAAATGAAAACTGTCTCAAATAATTTTTGGAATGATGTACACATGTTTAGAAATAACTGAAGATGAAGTCTTGAAAAATCCAAAAGTGATGTATGTGCTTTTTTACCAGATCCCCTCCCTAAAATTGAGGAGGTTTCTATGGAGGGTAGGAGCATAGGCAGGTTGTAAAATGACAAAATTTTTCTTCCCCTCTCTGTATTCTGACCTGGAACTTAAATCAAGGAAACCACCATTCACTGGGGCCAAGACTTGAACCTATGTACTGAGAAGCAAGAGGTGGACCATAAGTGTGGGGCCCCTTTCCCAAGATACTGCTGAAGCCAAGGCTTGAATCTTGGCCTGATTATTTAAATTTAAAGTTACTGTATTTCTGTCTCACCAGTGACTTTTATTCTCAGTATCTTTTGGCACTAGCTTTGAGCAAGACATTTTACTTGGCTTTAAATCCTCACAATAGCCATATGAGTAGACAGCATTCTTATGCCCACTTAATAGATGAAAAAACTGAAAGTCAGAGACACTGAACAACCAGCCAAAGTCCACCTAGCCATAAGGAGGGGAGCTAACAGTTAAATCTGAACATTTTTGTCTTCTGAGCTCATGTTTTATATTATCATACATTGCATACTTAATTTGTCTTATAAAACTGACATGTTAACACAGCAATTCCAATAGGCATTGGTTGACAAGGAAACAAAGTAGTATTTTTTGTTGGAAAATTTAGAAAAGTTAAAAAAATTTTGAGAGTAGGAAAAATTTTCCAAAAAAATAGGAAATATCAAGAGGTTTTGTGCCTGTGTGTGTTTTAACTGCAGTATCACACTGTGCTGACACAGATACTGTGCCATTATTCTAAGAGAACATGCTGTTAGTAATGGGTTCACAGTGCTGACTTATATTAATTCTAGGGCTGTGGCTGTATTCCATATGGTTTCCTAGGGCTTGGGTAATTAGGAGCATTACCAATTTAAAATGTCACCCAGACTCCAAAATTGGCTGTCAGGCTGTCTATACTTTTAGAAATACCAATATTCTCTTTTCCTGATCCTCCCCAGGAAATCCACCATCTTCATGTGGCCATGATCTGTTGCAAGAACACTCATAACTGCCATTTAAGGAGTGGAGACTGTTAAGTTGGAGAATGCAATCCTTGTCCCCAAAGAAAGATGCACCACATTCAAAAGAACCTTTCTAGAACCTTCTTCAATTAAAAATACAATGCCTTGGATTCCAAGTTCAGTCCAAAATATGGATGCAAAGTAAAGAGAGGATGGAAATTGTACCTGGATGCTCTGGTAATAGGTTACCCTGGAAATGCGTAAATGGAGCTCTTTGTATAATTTATTAGGGTGGTACAAAGCACATCTTAGAGCAGTACTTTTCAGTTCTTGTGATCCTGCAGACTAAAAACCAAAGGAATATCTTACCGTTAGGGCAGAGATGGGAGAAAAGAAATAGGGAGAAAGAGAAAAACAGCCAGACCTGGGAGTGAGCCTTGTGTGGTTAAGCTTTTGGCAAATTTAGTGTATTTGGTAAAAAGATACTTTAGTAAACCCAGGCCATATCCAGAGAAGTAGTGAAAAATTGTAAGCTGAGGCAATTTTCTAAAGATACAAGCCAAAATGACCTTAATCATTTGGTTATTTCAAAATAGAGTATGGGCCTTGGCAAAGAATCTGATCTTTTGCTAGCATCGTCCAGATAATTCCATCTGCTTCCCACTTGAGTGTGTATTACAAAACTTAAGTGAATTTTCAGTCATGCAACTGGGAAGAGAGGATGAGGAGGTAGAGGGACATTTTGCTTTGTCTACATAAGCCATGCAACTTTGGAACCAAAGCCATGGAGTGCCAAGGATAAATCCTACAGAGAAAAACTAATAGTCAAAGCAAATATTTAGGCTTTAATGAAAATATACTACCTCCTCCCTTTCCAGCTGGGATTTCCAAGACCGAGACAGGAAAGGACATTAACACAGGTAATTCCATTACACTTTCTCCCATAGCACCTCAGGAAGCCTTGGAGCTGCCTCTAATTGTATTTCATTGTCCTTACAGAAGATTAGATTGAGCCCATTTTTTATTCTACCATTGGTAGACCATCACAGAACTGGGTATATTTGAGGAACTTGGCAGACATTAAGTCATACTTTGATGCTCTGGGCAAAAAAAAATCTCATCTCTCCTCAGGCAGAGACAAAAAAGAGTAATAAAATCCTAGGGCTTGGGTAATTTGGAGTATTACCAACTTAAAATGTGGAGTGGTTAGCAAATGATGTTCCCCTGACACTATCTATTTGATCCCGACACCTCTCTGTAATAGAGAATACATAGTTTTGTGTCCATTTTATTGATAAGGAAACTGAGGCTCAGAGATATTAAGTAGCCATCCCAAGGCGACATGGCTGGTAAGTGGCAGCGCTGGGGTAGGAATCCAGTGCTTGGCTCTCTGCAGCATGATGGCGTCTTTTTGTGTAGCAGAAGATGAGAGAAAAGGGCAGACTATAAAGAGATACAAATCTGATCGTCATACCTCTGATAGTTCTATACACCTGGAGGAGAAGAGGAAAGTCTCTTTAGTCTGTCTGTTGTCCTTAGTCCTGAGCGATCCAACAGTGACTGACCTTTCTGGTCTCTTCTTCTGTATACCTCTCCCTTCTCCCCACACACCCCAGGCTGGAAATTACATGCTTTGCTTCATTCTGTGCTCACTTACGCACAATTCCCTGTGGTAGTGGCAGTGATCATCCTACCAAATGTTCATGCTTTCCCAGGGTGCAGTTGTTGGGAAGCAGCTGCCTGGCCAAGACTACATTTCCCCACCCCCTTGCATCTCCGTGCACCCTTGTGACTACCTCTGGCCAATGGAATGTGAGGGGAAGTGATGAGTATCTCTTCTGGGCCCAGGTAGTTAAGGGTCCAGCATAATTTCCCTACACTCTTTGCTCCTTATGCAGTGATATTGGAGATCACCTGTTCAGGGTGAAGAGACTCTGAATTTCTGGGTCACCACTTTGGGAAGAGCCACTCAGAACACACCGGACATGGCATGAGCAAGAAATAATTTTTTTTCTTTTTAAAAAATTATAATTTTTTGTTATTTTAAAATTATTTTTACTTTGTTTTTTAAAATTTCACACATTGACAGAAATAAATTTTATTATGATAAAACACTGAAATTTAGGGATTGTTTTAGTTGGTATATATACTGATCAATATATTTCCCTTGGGTAACACTCCCTTCTCTCAATTTTCTACCTCGAAATTTCATTTTTCTGGACCTAACTCAAATCCCACATTTCAGGAATGCCTTCCTTGACTTCCCAGTCAGTCTAGGCTGGGCTCTCTGGTATCCTGTATGTAGCTCTCCAGTAGCATTTATCACAGGATACGGCAAGTATTTCTTTACATGGTTATCTTTCCAGTTTAGCCTCTGAGCTTCCCAAAGACAGGAATCACATCATTTATCTAGCTAGCATCGTGGGAAGCATAAAAACCATTAACAAATATTTGTTGCCTACATGACTGAATGGGATGACACAAAATGTCAGTCCCCTAATTCCAGCATCACCTTGAAATAGCTCTGGAAAAGGTCTATGACTTCTGTGTGCCATTTGGATTCTGGGAGTGCACATGCATCACAAGCCAGCGCCCAAAGAAAGTGAGCTTAGGGGGCCCTCGCCTTATTCAATATTTTAGCTCAAACTATTTCACTCAACCTTCCTTGTCTTTGGCATTCTGGCCTCTTTCTTGTTTCTTAGGCTGCATGTCACCTCATGGACCTGACACTTTACACTCTGTCTCCCTTCATAATCTCCACCCTTCCTCAACTATGATCTGAACGCAGTCACTCTTCTATCCGAGGTAGCCTTTCGCCAAATCCCTCTTCCCTGACACAGGTTTATGCTCATTCCTGCCACAGGGCCTTAGTACGTGCTGCTCCCCACTACACACTCTATGCTCTCAGATGTGGTCACTTTTTTTTTTTTAACCTACTCAATGCCTATTGTGCTAGTTATTTTCTATTTGGGTTCCTCCAGATATATCCTTCCATCTTCTCCAATCTGCACTTTGTCAGGAGCCTGACCTGTCTGGACTCTATCAACACACTTCCTTGCCATTGGACTCTAGTTGTGAGCAGTCAAGAGAAATGACAATAGGAGGGTGGAAGGAGTGAGTATAGTGAGGTCAGATTGTTCATTCTCCTGGCTTCCTTCTTCCTGGGTCTCCATGGATTGGTTGTGTCCCCTTCCCCTCTACCCGAAGTCACAGCTCTTGTTGGGCTTTCATCTTTTACAGTCTGACTATTCTCTTAGGTTTCCAGTAACCACCTTTAGGTCCACACTCTTGCTGGTGCCAACGTGTTTCACCATCCCTTGTCGGTTTCCTTAACTCTGCCCACATCTTTGGAAATAGTCATGTTATTTAATTCTGGTCTTTTGCTCCCTCCCAGGTGAGTACCTCCTTATACTCTTTCTTTATAACAATCATCAGAGTTATAATTTTTCATGTAAAATGAGTAGTTATTTGATGAACATTTTCTCTCTCCCCTGGAGAGTAAACTTCGTTAAAGGAGAGACCCCATCTGTTTCCCACTCACTATTGAATCTCTGACAGG